GTGTACCATTCAATGCGGTTGTCCAGCATCAATTAATTAAAACATTCGGCACCACTGGACGGATTAGAATCCAATTCATATCACACTAACCAGTGTTTTCACTCTAATCCATTAGACATTTTCATGTGGTCAGAGTTCGGAATTTCTGACAAACTGAACGGCCCAAAACTGAACCAGAACCAGATAATGCATCAGCTCACCAGCTACAGCGCGTCAGGAATGGGGCTGCGCATGCAATCTCCGTTCGTTCATGTTTTGGTAGTGAAAATGTGACATTTACGGCGATTAATATTATATCACGCTGACCAACACTCTAAAATGGTCAACGGTTCGACTCTCCCAGTGGAAACAGTCAGTCCCTCTGCAGTTCGTTCATTCGTTTCGATGGTAATCTGGTACTGGTACATGCCAGAGTTTGAGCGCCTGGCATCGCCGCCAACTCACTTGTCGAACAACCCTCAAAAAAGGAAGCCATCGGCAGTGTTGCCAATGAATAGTTGTTGTTGGCACCTGCTACCACTCGGGCTATTCCCGAGTTCATGCATCTGTGAAGGAGCTTTAAGCAATACATGACATTGTACGCAACGCAGAATCGAGACGTCTGAGCACAGCTGCGTCAGGCTTTTGGGAGCATCCAGTAGCGTGAGTTATCATTACCGATAATCCGCACAATCTTGGAATACCAAATTCCCAGTATGTCACATTCGTTGCATGCGAACTCTACATGTGGCATTAGCGACCGTACGTTGTGTTTCACTCCTAAGGGAAATTTACTGGGCAAACAGAGCCTTCAGCCAATAGAAGAAATCAACTTTTTTTTTTTTTTTTTGCTGGATTTGGTTTAATATGCCATTTCGTGCAAATTTTGATTTTTTTGGTCCACTTGTTCAGTCTTTAACGTCAACAAGTACTCCCGACTGATTTTGAAGACTTACAAATCAAGTTTTATATTATTTTACTGACCGATTTTCGCAACTTTTACCCAGTTTCCGCATTTCTTCCCAACATTTGATTCAGATGCCTTTTCGAACATCAAAAGACAAGATGCCCGCATTTTTTCCGCTTCTTATTGTTCACCCTCGATAATTAGTTGTCTTAAAGTCTGACTTCAAGCTCCGAAGCGAATCGGCGGTAACGCCCTGCAGGCTGGGTTTCAAAGTTTTTTTGGAAGACAAAGCTCTGCAGACTGCAATTACGCTCAGCGGTAGCCTCGAATATTCCGCGGACTGCTTCTCTGGGTGAGACTTTGTGCTGTAGCAAATGATTTGCGAGCTTATAAAATTGAAGTCCGGACTGAGACGGCAGTTCAGGCCGTGAGGGGAAAGAGGAGCAAAAAATGGGGAAAAGGAACCCAGAAAAACAATTCTAAAAGGGAGTTTGTGAGTATTCCCACGCAAATCCAGCCGTCACTTCCACGCAAATTAGGCATCCCCGGCGCTATCCCAGGTAAACCGTGTTCTCGCAGCAAATCTAGTAGCTCGATGGTGAAAAGGAGCTTGAAGGCATAGAAGTACATAGCTAAAGCAATCTTACGGAATCCGTAGAGGAATTTACTAAAACTCTACTCAACTCGGCTACTCCGTATACACCCGTCTGAGGGTTTAAATGCGAGCTAGGGAACTCGCAGCCTCGCACAAATAACGAGTTTCTTGTCTAGGTGAGATTTTAGTTATCGCACATTGCTAATCATCATAGATCCAGAGCCCCTAGCCGGCGTCATACCATGATTTGCGAAGGATTTTTTCAGGTGTCCTTACCCCGCTTTGGCAAAGCACGCTGGATGTCGCAGATGGGGTGGTGGTAGGGGAGGTGGCGTTGTGTACGGGTCCTGGATACAGGGACCCAGGGATGGGGTGTGTTGGTAGGGTGAATTAAGTGGTGCGGGTCCTTTGGCGGTTGCCTGGACTATGTAGGAGAGGGGGTGAAGTACTGCTTGCTTCCAGAGTGCTTTTATGATGAGGATGGAGAGGAGCTCAGATGTTGCTTTGCAACGAGGATTGCAGGACAAAGCAAAGAAAAAGAACGAGAACACAAGTCGGGAGCTCAGGACAAAAACCGCAGGCAGCACTAAAGAGAAAGAGAAAACAAAGCAATACAAAAAAAAACCCAGGCCGGAACGCACCGGGCGGGCCCGTGCGATCATGCGTTTTTGCACAGGACTTGA